CCAATAATGTTCTCGTCGCGCCTACGAACAAATACGTATGCTTGCTCGTAGATTCGACGAAGGGGTCAATTTTGGAGTAAGGAGCGATCGCGCCCACTCGGGGGAAGGGGCGGGGGAGGAGGAGGAGGAGGAGGAGGAGGAGGAGGAGGAGGAGGAGGAGGAGGAGGAGGAGGAGGAGGAGGAGGAGGAGGAGGAGGAGGAGGAGGAGGAGGAGAGGAGGAGGAGGAGGAGGAGGGAGGAGGAGGAGGAGGAGGAGGAGAGAGGAGGAGGAGGAGGAGGAGGAGGAGGAGGAGGAGGAGGAGGAGGAGGAGGAGGAGTAATTCTAATATTCTAATTCTGCCTAAAGCGTCATCCTCCTCTGGGGAGGCTGCTAAAAAAAACAAATCACAAATCAGGGAAACTGGTGCCCGATTTCGGGGGCAGCCCTCTGGAAAGCCGCGACAACACCTCGCGGCCCAGCGACGTAGGCTTGCTACAGAGCCTGGAGAGGGACCGTGGGGGATTGATTGTGCAAGATCCCCACCACACACCTCTCAGGACTGCAAGCTCATGGGATGGGTCACAAAACTCGGCCATAGGGTGGTCCAGAACCGCCCCTCCGACAGGCACGGCCGAGAGGTCATCGGGGACAGGGTCTTCCATCCCGCTCGCAACGGCAACGGCCCTCGGGGGCAGGCTCTGGATCTTCCGCTGTACCGAACAGCGTGGCTTGCAAGGGTCAGGCCTAAAAGCCGCCAGCTTCCCTCTCAATGGGAAACCTCTGAGGCACTTCGAACACTTCATGCTAGCATTTCGCAACTGAGGCGAGGAGGAGGAGGAGGAGGAGGAGGAGGAGGAGGAGGAGGAGCTGGGAGAGGACGACGACCTCGACGACGACGACGATTCTGCAGTCGATCCCCCACTCGAGCCTGGGTCCGACCCTGCTCCTGCAGCGTGCCCCCCCAGTGCAGCGCCACGGCCAGGGCCCCGGGCGCGCCGGAGCCCTGCGCGCCGAGGCCCGGAGGAGAGCCAGCGGAGTGACGGCGGCGGCGGCTCTCCCGTCCGGCCCAACTCAGCTCGAAGTGCCACGGCTCAGCGTGGACAAGTTAGGGGAAGGAGAACCATGCACATACAGCGATTCTGGCCAGGCCCAACCCCCGAGCCCAGCATCGGTGCATACGCCCTCTTGCCTTGGCCAGGGAGGTACGGTGCGGTTTTTAATTCATCGTTTTTTTTTAACATATAGGATTTCAATACATGATTAATTTATGAATAAGTTTATGCATGAACTCATCGTTGTTTTCCTGCATTTTTAATACATGATCCGCACGCGGAGCATGTAATAAAAACGGCACTGTATATGCACCGATCCTGGGTCGAGGACGGGCGTCGTCAGGATCGGTGCATGTGCACAGTTCTCTTCGTCCGCAGAGCGCCGCGGTTCAGCGTGGACGAGTGCATTTCTGGGCCGGGCGCCGCTCTCCTCGCGGTCTTCGTCTCTGCTTTGTGCGCGGCCCGCCCCAGCTCGGGCCCCCGACTCTCGACCTGCTTCGCGAGCCCGCGTGCCAAGAAGCAGACGGGTGCATCAGGAGGAAAATCCTGGAGGCCTCGCGCGGCAACAACCTGAGATCCGATTTACGTCGGATCCACGTCGGCATTGCGTCGGACTTGCGTCGGAATTGCGTCGGACTGACGCTGGAGCATCGCCGCGCGAGCGTCGACCTATCGACTACGGAGCAGACGTGTGGACCAGATGCTACAACTCTTACGCGCCGCCCGAGGCCTGCCGGATTTTCCCCAGAAGGTGCGCTTCACTTCTCGCAGCGGAGCTGCTCCTGGCCATCGCTCGGACGACCGTTCCCCTGTGTTTTTTTCCGGTTTCGTGCGTGGCTTCTTCGCCAAGTGATCAAGGATATTCCTCGATGGTCCTCGCCGAAGGAAAGATGCACAGGAGGAGGAGGAGGAGGAGGAGGAGGAGGAGGAGGAGGAGGAGGAGGAGGAGGAGGAGGAGGAGGAGGAGGGAGGAGGAGGGAGGAGGAGGAGGAGGAGGAGGAGGAGGAGGAGGGAGGAGGAGGAGGAGGAGGAGGAGGAGGAGGAGGAGGAGGAGGAGGAGGAGGAGAAGAAGGGGCGTCCGAGCGATGCCAAGGCTCTTGGAGGAGGGCCAGCCGAGACGACGGCGGCTCTCCTCGCCGGGCCCACTCTCAGCTCGGGGTTCCGCGGCTCAGCGCAGGCAAGTGCGCTCCACTGCTCGCAGCGCGACTGCCCGCGAGAGCTCGAGGAGGAGGAGGAGGAGGAGGAGGAGGAGGAGGAGGAGGAGGAGGAGGAGGAGGGAGGAGAGGGAGGATGAGGATGAGGATGAGGATGAGATGAGGATGAGGAGGAGGAGGAGGAGGAGGAGGAGGAGGAGGAGGAGGAGGAGGAGGAGGAGGAGGGAGGAGGAGGGAGGAGGAGGGAGGAGAGGAGGAGGAGGAGGAGGAGGAGGAGGAGGAGGAGGAGGAGGAGGAGGAGGAGGAGGAGGAGGAGGAGGAGGAGGATCCGCCGTGGGGGATGCGCGGTCCACTACGTCCAGGCAGGCACGCGTCTCGGTTCGGACGTTTGCAAGCAGGCACTCTGCGAGTAGCCTGCCGTCGCTCAGATGCCCATTCCCCGTGCATGTTTCGGTGTCGTGCGTGTGAGTCTGTGTGTGTGTGTGTTTTCGCCAGATGATCCAGGATGTTCCTCGATGGTCCCCGCCCCCCAAACATGCGCACGTCCGAGCGATGCCAAGGTAGTGGACCGCGCTCGGTGACAGAGATGGGGCCTTCAGGGACGGGGGGCCCTGATGGCGAGTGGCCTCAAGCCGAGACGCTTCAGCCTGGGATCCCCTTCCTGCGGCCCTGTCTGAACGGGCCCAGGAACACACGAGTAGATACATACAAATCCCAGGATCCCCTACATTTTCTCATATCTGATCCTCTTCATCTTCGTCTTCCCCCCCACTTCCCCTGGTTTCCCATACCTTCCTGAAAATCGACGCTTAAATGTGTCCCTGTGTTTTTCCCCTCCCGACGATCCCTCAGGGCCGACCTCGCCGACGCGTCGGTTCTGCGGACCCCTCCCCGGGTCTGCCCCGGCCCAGTCGTTCGCGCCAGATCCGAACCGTGGCAACGAGACGCCTCCAGCCGAGGCACACAGCATTGTGTGCACATACCCCGTCCGCGCTAACGGCGATGTTGGGAACCAACTTGTAGAACATCACGATCCACACGTTCCTATATTTCCAATCTGCAAGGTTATCGAACGAAAGCGACACAGCGAATTGCAGGAAAGCGCGAGCCACGCATTCCCACAATACCGAAACCTACATTGCCGTTGCCTGCATCGCCGTTAGCGTGTCTGCGGACTCTAACTTTCGGAGCTCCACGCCGATTTCTTGGACCTGCGCTGACCCTCATCCCTGGCGCGCGGAGTGCGCCAGGGGGGCCCAGCGCCGAGCCAAGAGATCTGCGCGGAGCTCCGAAAAGTGTACGTTTATGCAGTTTTTTCCTCCCTCGATCCATGAGGCTCCCAGAAGGACGAACACGACGCCAGGGATACGCGAACGGCGCTACACCGTACCATGCTTGGGCTCCCTTCAGGCCCCACTCCAGTGCGGCACCGCCGCAGCATTTTGCGGCCTCGAGGGCTGGAAACCGACGCATCGTACCATTCGCAGGTCCGTCGTCCTTGTGGCTTTGTGGGTGTCTTCGAGTCAATCCCAGGACGCCATGTGGCGCTCAAGTGGGCTAGGCCCACCCCAAACCACCAAAACGTCATTCGTTGACTTCCGGTAGAAAGTGGTCCGATCTCGGGCAGTTGTGCTTCATCTTGGGTGGAGGATTGACGCCGCCTCAGGGGACGCCAGCACAGCACCTTGCCATCGCTGGGACGTCCATGCCCCGTGCACTTTTCCGATGACGCGCGCGCGCATTTTGGTTTTTGCTAAGATGATCCAATTTGTTCCTCGATGGCCCCCCAAAATTCACATGCCGAGGTGCCCAAGCCCCCGATGTCGTGATTCTTCCACAAAGTCGACCCTCTCAAAGGTCCGGACCCCTCCCCCAGGACTGCCTTCGAGTCGTTTTCCCCCAGCCATCCGGTGGTCTTGTGCCCTCGTTTTGAAGAGACAGCGCCCCGCGTTCCTCTCCTCTCCTCTCCTCCCGCTCCTCCCTCCTCCTCCCTCCCTCTCCTTGCCGCTGCCCTCCGCATGTCTCTGTTTCGGCACACCCCTCACACGTTTCATGGCCCTGTGGGGAGCTCCACCGAAGGTCCACAACATCTCAAAGTTCGCATGCGCCCGCCGCGCCCATGTCGGCACACCCCTCCTCACACGTTTCGTGGCCCCGCAGGGAGCTCCACCGAAGGCCCACATGCCAGCGTTCGCATGCGCCCGCCGCACCCATGTCGGCACACCCCTCACACGTTTCGTGTCCCCCAGGGAGCTCCACCGAAGGCCCACATGCCAGCGTTCGCATGCGCCCGCCGCACCCATGTCGGCACACCCCTCACACGTCTCGTGGCCCTGTAAGGGGCTCCACCGAAGGCCCACATGCCAGCGTTCGCATGCGCCCGCCGCACCCATGTCGGCACACCCCTCACACGTCTCGTGGCCCAAGAGGGACTCACAGCTGCATGTGGTTAGGTCTTTCGCCAAGCTAATTTTTGGTGACGGCCCCGAGGCCCGGCGAGAGCGCCCGGGGGCCGCGAGGAGGAGGAGGCGGAGGAGGAGGAGGCGGAGGAGGAGGAGGAGGAGGCGGAGGAGGAGGAGGAGGCGGAGGAGGCGGAGGAGGCGGAGGCGGAGGCGGAGGCGGAGGAGGAGGAGGAGGAGGAGGAGGCGGAGGAGGAGGAGGAGGAGGAGGAGGAGGAGGAGGAGGAGTGTTTCTTTTCCACGACGCGAGGGGGTCTGGGAGGTCCGCCGCCGTCTCGGCCCGCCGGCCCTCCTCCGAGGAGGCCCTGCTCCCGCAAGGTCCGCTGCAGCGCGGGCAGCACCGCCGCGCGGTCGCTCAGCACGGCCGCCCGCGCACCCGCTCGTCGGCGGCTCAACGATGGGGCCCCGTGGGTTCTGCTGCTCTCCTCTTACTTAGGGCCCACATTCCAGAAACAATTTCGAGCACCCAGAAGAGCATCGAAGCAGTATCGAGCGAGCATCGCCTCCCAGGGCCCGGCACGTGAAAACCCTCCAGTATCGGTACTTCCTTGGTGCTCGAAATTATTTCTGGTGCTCACGGCTACAGTAGGTTGGAGCATCATAACCAGAGGGACAGGATCAGTCTCCCCAGACCGCTCGAGTCATGAAACATTGCACTGTGACGTACCCAACCCATTTTGCATCCAGGGACGAGGGGAGTTGGCCCACACTTGCGTGGACAATGACAATGCAGGCGCCGTCATATGGTGAGCATACTGCGTGGGACACGCGCACGTGTGACGACTCACATGTCAACGTTAGAAGGACGAGGAGTGAAGGCCCAAGCTAGAAAAAAGTTGTAAACAGCAGTCCCACAGAGATGTCGAGATCTAATATGAATCTGCGTCTGGTACCCGACGCTGGCCCCCCAGCAGCTCTCGAATGTGGCGACAGCGTCGATGTTCGCAGCCCCCCAGGGATGGCGAGGTATTATGCGCCTGGTACCCACGATACTACCCCCAGCAACCCTCGAGAGTGGCGACAGTTTCGCATATCGCAGCACCCTAAGGATTGGGAGGTCGAATCTGAATCTGCGTCTGGTACCCACTATGCTGGCCCCCCAGCAGCCCTCGAGAGTGGCGACAGTTTCGCAGATCGCAGCCCCCCAGGGATGGCGAGGTCAAACTTGAATCTGCGTCTGGTAACCATAATGCTGGCCACCCCAGCAGCCCTTGAAACTGGCGGCAGTTTCGCAGATCGCAGCCCCCCCCAAGGATGGCGAGGTCTAATCTGGATCTACGTCTGGTACCCAATATGCTGGCCCCCCAGCAACCCTCGAAAATGGCGACCGTTTTGCAGTTCGCGGCCTCCAAGGGATGGCGAGGTCTAATTTGACTCTGCGTCTGGTACCCACTATGCTGCTCCCCCCCTTAGCAACCTCGAGAGTGGCAGCGACAGTTTTGGAGGTCGCAGCACCCCAGGGATGGCGAGTCCGATCTGGATCTGTGCCTGGTGCCCACGATGCTGCCCAACCCCAACAGCCCTCAAGAATGGCGACAGTTTCGGAAACCGCAGCCCCCCAAGAATGGCAAGGTCCTGCATCTGCGTCAGGTACCCACTATGCTGGCCCCCCAGCAGCCCTCGAAAGTGGCTGTCGCCCCCCAGCAGCCCTTGAAAGTGGCGACCGTTTCGCAGTTCGCGGCCTCCAAGGGATGGCGAGGCCTTATCTGGATCTGCGTCTGGTACCCACTATGCTGCTCCCCCCTCAGCAACCTCCAGAGTAGCGATAGTTTCGGAGATCGCGGCACCCCATGGATGGCGAGGTCTAATCTGGATCTGCGCCTGGTATCCACGATGCTGCCCCCCCAGCAGCCCTCGAGAGTGGCGACAGTTTCGCATATCGCAGCCCCTCAAAGATAGCGAGGTCGAATCTGAATCTGCGTCTGGTACCCACTATGCTGGACCCCCAGCAGCCCTCGAAAGCGGCGACAATTTCGCAGATCGCAGCCCCCCAGGAATTGCGCGGGCAAGCCAGGTAAAAGGCAGGACACAAGAGGAGGAGCGAAGAGAGGAGGACGAGGGGGGGCAAGGGAGGCGAGGAGGGAAGAGAGGGATGGAGAGGAGAGGAGAGGGAGGAGGAGATCTGACAGTAGCCTGCCGAAGAAGGGAGAGGGGACGCGGCCCCTTCAAGACGAGAACCCAACGCAGGAGGTTCGGGCACCAAATCAAGACGGGGTGCTGGTTCTTGGGTGTCTTCAGCCTCTGGGGGCCCTCGCTCGGCCTCGGGGCTGTCAACAGCTGAGCATCTGCTTAGGGTGGAGGGCTCAGGGTGAGATTCATGTGGGCTTTTGCACGTCGAGCATCAGTCCGTCCTGTGATTCACCTTTTGCAGATTCGAGCCTCGAAGATCCGTTCAAAACCGCATTTCAGATTTCACACTTTGCCCTCCACCCAAAGAAAATGCTCGGGACAGAACGACTCGGGATGAAAAGCCGGTCCTGGAGAATGGGTCGAGACTAGGTGAGGCATGTCTTGCTACGGGCGGATTTGAGAGGACGCATATCAAGCAGTCGAACAAGCAAACCTGGTCAAACGAGCACGACAAATCGTCGCTAGACTATGCTTGACCATTCCTGAGCATCCCTCCTGTGGAGGGACGTGCCCGACTTGAGTCGAGACCTCTGGGTAAAACAGGGCTAGGATCGGGATAAATCGCCCCAGAGCGTTCCGGAACGCTCTGAGAGCGTTCCGGAACGCTCTGGAGCGGCCGCGGCGCCCGATAGATCCTCCAAACCCGCCGATTCTCAGAGATTTCGAGCCATCCCGATCCGATTTTGTCCCGATCTTCGTGTCACTTTGCCGACTCGAGTCGAGACCTCTGGGGCCGACGCTGCGAACAAAACCATGACGTCGGGGATGGACAGACCTCCCCTCAGTAAAACGCGGTTTAGTGAAAACGACCTCGGGCCCCAACCTGGCGGGCGCAAGCCTGGAAAATAACGACCGCGGCGCCCTCTCGAGAACCGAAAACGGACAATTCACTAATCGACGTGTCACTGTTAGGAGGTCTGTCCACCCCGAATGGCGTCGGGGGCCGGGGTCGGCGGCCGGCGAGGTCCCTCAAGGCGCCCCGCCGAGAGAACGGGGCGGCGGGCTCGAGGATCGAGGGCCGGGGGTGCTGGAGGAGGGCGGGAGGATCGGGGACGGGTGCTCGAGGAGGAGGAGGAGGAGGAGGAGGAGGAGGAGGAGGAAGAGGAGGAGGAGGCGGAGGCGGAGGCGGAGGAGGAGGAGGAGGAGGAGGAGGAGGGTCGAGGGGTGGACTCGAGGAGGAGGGATGGAGGATGGCGGATGGAGGATCGGGGGAGGAGGATCGAGGGTGGAGGGCTCGAGGGGGCTCGAGGGGCGAGGGTGGAGGATCGAGGGAGGGAGGAGGATCGAGGATGGAGGCTCGAGGAGGACTGAGGATGGAGGAGCACGTCCCCGAGCCAGGGGACTGCCAGAGGGCGAACCCCGAGATGGCAGGGCCCGGCGGCGGGCGCGGGGGCCAAAGTTCGAGGGAGCGGGCCCTCTCGGCAGGCCGCGGGCCTCTTCGAGGCCCTCGGGCCTTCTGAGCGGGCCTTCTGAGAGGTTCCTCCTCCTCCTCCTCCTCCTCCTCCTCCCTCCTCCTCCTCCTCCTCTCCTCCTCTCCTCTCCTCCTCTCCTCCTCTCCTCCTCCTCCTCCTCCTCCTCCTCCTCCTCCTCCTCCTCCTCCTCCTCCTCCTCCTCCTCCCCCCTCGGGCCTTCGGAGAGGTCTACTGGCGGCGATCGAGGGGGGAGGCTCAGGAAAGCTCCTCAAAGGCCTGGGGGACTTCCGAGCCTTCTGAAGCATCAGGGATTGGGAGGGTCTGTTCTGCGGAGGTATCGGACCACACCGCCCAGAATCATTGCCACTATTGCAGAGACGGGGACTTCAATGATGCCGCCGAGTTTTTTTTGGGCGTTGGCAGAACTGGGTTTAGTGGGACCTGGTTTAGTGATGTGTACTGGGGGACGCCCCCCCCCCGCCCCGTTCCACTAACCGGAACTGCCGTCACCCGAAGATCTGCTTTAATGATTCTGGCTAATTTAGGGGCTCCGGGGCCCTACTACTAACCGGGTCCCCTTATCTGGGGTCGTGGCTATATCCGATTTTTGTTCAGCCCTCATGGCCCCATCCTTGAGCCGCCGAGCTCGCAACGCCGCCAGGCCCACCACGCCCGCCCCGCCGGCGCCGAGCTCCAACACCCGCTTGCCCTCCACGAGCTCCCGCAGCCGGAGCGAGGCCGAGAGTGCGAGCGCCATCGCCCGCCCCGTGGGCCAGGCGTGCGCGGCGGTGCCGTCGCAGCCCGCGCCGTCGTCCGAGGCCTCGGCCTCGCCCTCCTCCTCCTCCTCCTCCTCCTCCTCGTCCTCCTCCTCGTCGTCTTCCTCCTCCTCCTCCTCGCCCTCCTCCTCGCCCTTCTCGGCGTCCTCTCGGCTACGCGCAAGAGTGACCCTGGGTAAGAGTGACCTCTGGTGCCTTTGGGGGGCCGCGGGGGGACCCAAACGCAGGCGCGCAAGCGCCGCTGCCGCCGCTCTGCGTGCCGCGATGGGGGCGCCCCAGGTGGGCCCGCACCAGAGGCCACTCCGGCCTAAGGCCATTCCTGCGCTTAGTGGGCCCTGGAAACGACAGGGCCGTTCTTTTACCGGTTCCGTTTTGCTGTTTTTTTGCTGGTTCCGACACCGTTTTTTTACCGGTTCCGTCGCCGTTGTTTGACCAATTCCGGCTCGGGTTCCTATCCTGGAGCCGTTCTTTTGCCGTTCCTGGTCGCCGTTTTTTTGCCGCTTCCATTTTCAAGGGACATTTTTTTGGAAACGGCGAAAAAACGGCCCTGCTGCTTCCGGGGCCCACTAAGCTCCTGCGTCTAATCTTATGTCGGGCCTGCCCCCCTACAGGGGGGACTTTCGACAAAAAATAAAAGATACACCAAACGCACCAAAAAGGACAAAACATACTCCAACCATAGTCCCCAGACTACTTTTGGACTATTTCGGGGGTACCTTGTATTCCTCGTCGACAATCCCCCTGTAGGGGGACAGGCCCGACTTCAGCCTCGTCGATCCTCGCCCTCCTCCTCCTCCTCGGCGTCGCCGGCGCCCGGGCCCTCCTGCCGCGGCTCCTCCGCGGCCTCCCCGGCCGCGCCCGGCGTGCCCTCCGCGGGCTCCCCGGCCGCCATCTGCCCGCCCGGGGGGGGGAGGGCCTGCGGAGGGGGCAGGGGCCTGCCCGTCGCGGGCGCTCCGGCGGGGCGGGGGGCGCGGCCGCAGCGGCGAGGCTGGCACGTTTTTTTTTTTTTTTTTTTTTTTTTTTTTGTTTTTTTTGTTTGTTTTTTTTGTTTGTCTTTTCTTTTTTTTTGTTTTCCCCTTCCATTTTTATTTTTACCAAACAAATTGTTTTATGTTTTTTTTTGGGGTTGTTCGTTATTTCCCCCCCCCGTTTCAACCTCAGTTTGGAGGGAGCGGGTGCTGGAGGAAGCGGGTCGTAGGTCCTGGGGTCGTTGGGTAGTGGGTCTGGGTGGAGGGCGCCAGTGCTCGCCACGCTCGGGGCTCGAGAGCACGCAGTGGTGACTGGCCCCTGCTGGGGTGCCGCCCATCGGAATGCCTTGCAATCTAGCGATGGCCACGCGTGAAGAAGCTGGATCCGAAGAAGCCATCAATCGCGCGCGCGAGGCTGCTGGGCGGAAGCGCGGTGCGATCCCGCCGGCGAACTCCAGCCCTTCCTCCAAGACAGGCCCTTGCCGATGCGTGGCGAGCCGAGGGCGTGCTTGTCTGGAGCTCGGCGCGGGCCCGGGTGCAGCGACCCGACAGCTGCGCGCAGGGGCTCCGACTCCCGAGCTGCATGTGCCTGGCCAGCGACAGACGCGGCAGCGCGCGCGCAGCGCGTCGCGCCCCGGGAAAATCGTGGGGAAGGGAAGATCGTGGGGAAGCGCCGGAAGGAGCCCAACCGCGACGTCTGAACCATCCAAAAGGCCGAGTCCAAAGCACAAGCAGCCCAACCAGGACGTACAATGATTGCAAGCTGCGTGGCGCCTCTAGATAAGCGTTGACGCAGCTGTCGCCCAGGAAGCGTGGCGCGCCGTGTGTGTGTGTGTGTGTGCGCGTGCGCGCCGTCCCTGGGGGGCTGCGATCTGCGAAACTGTCGCCACTTCCGAGGGCTCCTGGTGGGCTCGCCAGTTCTGGGCGGCCATGTCATGTTGTTGCTGCCCCGCCGACGTGTCAAGCCCGTTGTCTAAAGTCTCCTTTTGGACCTTGGGTCTTCTTTAAATGCTCAGGGGTTCACTTAGCTGCTCATCGTTTTTTCCTTGATTGGGAACCTGCGAACCTTCCGACTGCCGCTCGCAGAAATATCTGTATCCATGTCACGTCGCCGCCTGCCCCGCATTGCGCAGGGATTGGGTACGTCGCCAGGGTATTTTTTTCTCCGAAGTTTGCGAGTAGGCACATTGCGAGTAGTGGAACGCGCTCGGCGAAATATGCAATCATCGTGCTACCAGTCGGAACGCTGAAGGAGGGAAGACGGGGCCTTGCTAGCCAGAGCGAGTGGCGATCACGAGTACGTCCCCCAGAAACCAGAGGCAATCCTGAGCCCAAGGCGGTCCTCGTTCCAGTATCTTGCCTGTAATCTTTCGGGAGCCCGCGCGGATTTCTTGGACAGGAGGTGCTGGGACCCCCCTCCCTGGCGCGCAGCACGCGCCAGGGGTGGCGCCGGAGGCGCCTCCAGGGGGCTGTGCAGAGCCCAGCGCAGATCCAAGAAACCCGCGCGGAGATCCGCAATTTTGGGTTCGTGCTGCTTCTTACTCTGACTTTATGTTGCTCCCATCGTACTTACGGACCACATCCCAGAAACAATTTCGAGCACATGGAAAAGTGTGGAAAGAGTGTCGACACAGTGTCTCCCAGGGCCCGACACGTGAAAACCCTCGAGTTCTGGGGGAATTTTTCTGGCGCTCTAGATTCTTTCTTGTGATCAAGCCTAAAACAGGCTGGAACATCATAACCCTGGCTCTGGGTGCCGCCGCCGTCCGATCGTGGAGCTGCAGGCAGAGGAGCCAGCCTCCCATGTTTCGGGAGGGGCCAAGAGGGGGGTATCCAAGAGGGGGGGGTGCAAATCATGACCGGCGGCATGTGCGCGGCCCAGCGGGGGGGCCAGGGACGCAATGAGATGAGAAGAGGCGCCATGAGATGTGGGGAAATATCATGGCCCACGCCATGATATCCACCCCCCCAGTCATCACCCCCCTCTTTGCCGCCCCCGACCCCGGAGGAGGAGGAGGAGAGGAGGAGGAGGAGGAGGAGGAGGAGGAGGAGGAGGAGGAGGAGGAGGAGGAGGAGGAGGAGGAGAAGGAGGCGGAGGAGGGGGAGGAGGAGGAGGAGGAGGAGGAGGGGGGCACCCGCGTCTGCAACCTCGGGGCCCCCGGGAGCCGGATTTTTCCTGTGCCTCGCGCGGTGCCGCCGCCGCGGGGGAGAGCCCCCGCGGGGGGCTCCGGCGACGGGCCGGCCGGGACCCCCCCCCCTCCGGAGGCCTGCGGGAGAAGAAGTGCATCGGAGGAGGAGGATGAGGAGGAGGAGGAGGACATCTTGGTCCTCGATCCTGGTGGCCATCGTGGCAGGAAGTGCCGCGCTCGCCAAACGGAACCTGCCTGCTCTGGCCTTCTTGCCCGTTCGATGCCACCAGCACCTCGCTCCCGCCACTTTTATCGGCTTGGACCGAACCCACCAACCCCGAAACGGGCAATCGGCCGTGCCAGCGGCTCCTCTCTCTCTTGCTCTTGTTCTTGCTCTTGCTCTCTCCCTGACTCTCTCTCTCTCTCTCTCCCACTCCTCACTCTTTCAGTGTCTGTCTGCATCTCTCTCTCTCTCTCTCTTTTCATGTTTTGTTTGTTCTCTCCCCTCTCTGTCTCATTCTCTTCCCCTCCTTACACGCTCTCTCTCTCTCTCTTTTTTTGTTTCTCTCTCTCTCTCTCTCTCCCTGTCTCCACTTACTGTCTACCTCTCCCTCTCTCTCCCTCCCTTCCCTCCCTGCCTCTCGACGAGGGCGAGGAGCAGAGCTGGGAGCTCGACGCCGCAGACGACAGTGGAAGACATCGCGGCGGGCGCTCCGCCGTCCGAACGCTCGGGCCCCAAGGCCCGCACGCGTGCGCGCCGTGGCGCAACGCGGGTCCGCGACCGGCAAAAAAATTGGCCCGTGCCGCCGCTGCGGCCGGGGATGGGCTGGAGGAGGAGGAGGAGGAGGAGGAGGAGGAGGAGGAGGAGGAGGAGGAGGAAGTGTTGCTAGAAGTGGTCCTGGCCCAGAGTGTCCCCAGCGCTTCGTGCCGTCTTGGAACTTGGAACCCCTTGGGCCCGCTGGGACTTGTGAGGGGTGCTCTGGAGGCCATCCAGGCATCCTCGGGGATCCTGGGGACAACTTGTTCCAGTTACACTTTTGACGGCACCCGAAGGGAGGGACGGGGGTAAGAGGAAAGCGCGGGTGGGTCGCGGGGTGGGTCGCGGGTGGGTCGCGGGCGGGTCGCGGGGTGGGTCGCGGGGTGGGTCGCGGGGGGGACGCCGCCAAACAACAACAACACCAACACCAACACCGCTACCACCAACAACAACAGCAACACCAACAACAACCACAACCACAACCACAACCACATCAACAACAACAACAACAACAACAACAACAACAACAGCAACAACAACAACAACAACAACAGCAACAACAACAACAACAATTTGGACGCCCGACATGGGTACGGAAAGAATCGGTACTATGCCTAACAGCAGTTCCTGTTCATTTTGAACAGGACTCGCTGTCCGCGCCGCCGCGGCCTTTCTATTTGAAACAGAAGGCCGCCCGCCCAACAGCGGCCGCTGTTGGTTTGGGACAACATTTGTTGTTGGGCATTGTACCCGTTCTTTCCGTACGCATTTCGGGCGTCCAAAAACAATGACAACAAAGCATTCAACGCCTGTGTGCTCCTCTCCCCAAGGGCACAGGAGTCCGTTCACTCTATTCGCATGACTGGACTCATGTGCCCCTCCCCACCCACGAGGGGGGGGGGCAGCAGCCGGCAGCAAGCATCCAGCACTCATACAAACAACTAGCCACAACTCCATTGGGACCCATCTACGACTACGACTGCGGCCGAAAAGCAAGAGAGCGCTTTTTCTGCGCTGTCCTTTCCCCAGAGTTGCTCTGGCACTGATGTTGTGTAGGCGGCTCAGAGTAAAGCGGTTTGAAAGTGCCCCTCCTCCTCCTCCCTCCTAGGATGCCAGCATGCCTCGTCCTGCCAGGCCCGTAATTATCAAATTCACAACCGGTTCGCGGCTAGATCCTCATCTACTACCGCAGCCCAGGCACGATCCGCGATCCTCGTGTGAGGATGTTAAATGTGATCAAGGCTCGGGGCCCAAGGTGGGATCCGGGCGCGTAGGACTAGTACACCCTGGGGGTAGTAATCCCTAGGACTAGTACTCCCTAGGGCTAGCACTTCCTAGGGCTAGTACTCCCTAGGACTAGTACTCCTTATGAGTGGTACTCCCTAGGATTAGTACCCCCTAAGACTATGACTCCCTAGGAATGGTACTCTCTAGGAATAGTACTCCCTAGGACCGGAAAACCCTAGGACTAGTAATCCCTAGGGCTAGTGTTGAGTGGACCTGTAGACTAGTAGTCCCTAAGGCAAGTGCTCCCCCGAGATACTGCTCAAAAGGACGATACTTGCACACATATGTGTATACACATGTACATGTGCATCCATACACATATATATATATATATATATACACATGTATACAAATGTACCTGTGCTCCTCCTGCTCTCTCCTCCTCCTCCTTCTCCTCCTCCTCCTCCCTCCTTCCTTCCCCTTCCCCACGACTACGACTGCGGCCGAAAAGCAAGAGAGCGCTTTTTCTGCGCAGCCTTTCCCCCAGAGTTGCTCTGGCTCTGTTGTCGTGTAGGCGGCTCAGAGTAAAGCGGCTTGAAAGTGCCCCTCCTCCTCATCCCTCCTAGGATGCCAGCGTGCCTCGTCCTGCCAAGCACGGCTACATCCTCCTCTACTACCACAACCCGGGCACGATCCGCGATCCTCGTGTGAGGATGTTACATGAGAAAAAGTCTGGGGGCCCAAGGCGGGATCCGGTCCGGGCGCCTTGACGGCTGGGAGCCCACGGTGGGGTGCGAGCGTGAGCGTGGGCGTGGGCGTGGGCGTCGGTGAGGGTGTGGGTGCTGGCCTGCTGCCCCCCCCCCCCCGGGCGTGAGCGTGGGCGTGGGTGCGGGTGCGGGCGTGGGCGTGGGCGTCGGTGAGGGCGTGGGTGCTGGCCTGCTGCCCCCCCCCCTCCCAACGGGTGCGGGCGTGGGCGTGGGCGTCGGTGCGGGTGCTGGCCTGCTGGCCTGCTGCGCCCGCCCCCCTCCTCCGGGGACGGGGCACACATGGGCGTTGATGCCACCAGCAACAAGAACAGCACCAACAAAAACAACACCAACAACAACACCAACAGCAACAGCAACAACAGCAACAGCAACAACAGCACCAGCCACAACAACAGCAACACCTACAACAGCACCACCAACAACACCAACAACACCTACACCAACAATAACAGCACCAACAAAAACAACACCAACAACAACACCAACACTAACAACACCAACAACTACCAACAATAACAGCACCAACAAAAACAACACCAACAACACCAACAGCAACAGCAGCAACAACAGCACCAGCAACAACAACACCAACACCTACAACAACACCACCAACAACACCACCAACACCATCAACCATCAACAACACCAACATCAGCAACAACAGGAACAACACTTTTAAGACTGTTCGCTCTTATTCGCCCGAGTGTCATTCAACGTGTATTTCCCGAACCCTCGATACCCGCCCTCTTCGCCTTCGATCGTACCCCTTTCGGAGGGTAGATCCTTCTTCTCTGCAGGCCGGGCCTCTGCAAGCGGCGAGGCGGCCGCGGACTGTCGGCCTGGCCAGCGGCAGCGCTGATCGGCGGCAATCCGACCCCAAGAGGGACGGACAAGGGACCGACCACCACGACGACGACGACATCGACTAGCGAAAGCGAGAGCGACAACACAAGACAACATCGGAATGCATAGCCCTCTTCGGCCACGCACCCAGGGACAGTGAATGACCTATGGCCCCCGTCACTCATATATATATATATATATATATATACATCTGCGTATTTTTAGACTTGTGTTCGCATGGGGCAATAGCAGGAGGTGGCGCAAGAGAAACGAGGCAACGCAGGAGGAGGGAGGCGGCACAAGGAAAAACAGGGAGCAACAAATCCCAGACTGGGAGCTTCGAAGGCCCCAGAAACAGCAGAGCCGATTTTTCATCATTTCCGAAACAAACAAAAATCTCTTCAAAATAAACACGGTGAAACAATGGCAACCGGAAGCAGCGAAAAAACGGATGCGGAATTGGATCCGGAACCCAAGCCAACAAAACAACGGCGACAAAACCGGAAAAAACAGCGCCGGAATCGGCACAATGGAACCGGGAATAAAAATGGCCCTGTCGTTTCCAAGGCCCGCTGGGGTTTGGAGGCTGGAGCGCGCGCCGACGAGCCGGACGAGGCCGAAAGGCGCACGCAACGATGGCCGCCTGCTTTGGACTGCCACCGCGCGCGAGGCCAGGCACCCCCCCGTGATTCGCCCTCGCCTTCCCCCCGCCGCCGCCGAAAGACGCCAGCCGTCGTCGGCGTGGGCGCCGCCAGCCGACACCAACCATCCGGCTCAGCGCTTCGCCCGGAAGTGGCACCCGCTGTACGACGCAATATCCTGCAGTAGACAAGCGCGACCCACTCATCATTATCATCCGCATCGTCATCATCATCATCAACACCATCATCATCGACATCGCACCCACACTCATTCACACCGCGCCTAAACTTTGAATTCGCCGGCCCAACGGGCCAGAGGCGTGCTAAGATCTCCGGTAACTTGTTAACAATATTTCTAGTTCGCGCGCGCGGAGCGGCCCATGGGGGCCCCCGGACGAAAAGTACCCCGGCAAGGTCCCGAGAGAAACCCGGGAGAAGCCACCAGACCACTCCAGGGGAGGATATTTTTCGACACCCCTCACGAGGATCGTGGCCTCCGAGGGGGGAGCCGCAATCGACTACCCCCAAGAGCCCCCCAAGAGGCCCTGGGGGCCTCCAAAACGCCGCCAAGGAGCCCCAAGAGACTCCCAAGAGGTCCCCAAGAGGCCCCCAAGAGGCCCTAAAGAGGGCTCCAGGGCCGGCGGCATGAACGAAACGATTAAATAAACCTCAGCCGGGAACCTCGTTTGTGAGTGAATTGCGAGGAAGTCTCAAGCGCGACCCCCCTCCCTATGGAACCCGCGCTTCAAGTTGGTAATCAGAGCGGTATATCCAAATCCTGTGACCGTCCTCACTTTTGAGCTCCGCGCGCCGGAATGTCTTAAACAACAGAAAAACAAAGTCTGGCGGGAACCTCGTTTGTGCGCGAATTGCGGGGAATTGTCAGGCGGGACCCCCTTCCCCCGGAGACCGCGTTTCATGTTGGTAGTCGGAGCAGGTTCTCCAAATCGTGTAACTGTCGTTGCTATGGGGCCCTTCGTGCCTGCATTTTGAAGAAACGTCAGGCGGAAACCTCGTTTGTCAGCGAATCGCGAAAAAGTCTTAAGCGGGAGCCCCCTCCCTATGGGGCCCGCGCTGCATATTGGTAACCCGAGCGAGTCACGCGAAACGTGAGAACCTGTCGCCAATTTTGGGCTCCCCCAGCCAGGCAACCCTTGACGGGTCTGAAGCGGGGGCGCGAGGAAGTCTCGAGCGGGAGCCCCCTCGCTATTGGGCCCGCGACTGAATGTTAGAATCCGAACGAATCTTCGGGATCTCGTAGCTGTCGTCACTGTTGGGCTCTGCGGGACCGAAGGGTGATGTGAGCCCTCGCGGGCCAATCCGAGCGGGGTCACTTTTGCAGTCTTGATAAGGCCACTCGCTCGGCTGAGCCCAGTCCCCCGACGCGGCGCCAAGGATGAGGACGCTGGTCGCACGGGCATGTCGGACGACCACTGGTGGCTGCACCTCTACATCGTGGTCTCCCGCGCCACGCGCACGCGGAACATGCTGACCCTGCGGCCGTCCACGCGACAGTTCCTGGAACGCGGGCCGCTGGCGTCCCTGTTGAAGTCGCTCCGGGAGTTCGACGAGATAGCGGGGACCTCCAAAACCGAGGCGGAGCAGCTTGCAACATAGCTGGGTTTCGTGCCGCCCCCCGCCTCAGCGCGGTCGCGCCCACCTCGAGACCTACAGGGTTGTCCCAACGGTGTGGCCCGCGGGTTTTTTCTATTGGCCCACCCCCGCGCCCCAGCAGTCCGCGGGGCGTGCTGGCCGAGGCGGCGACGGCGCCGAGGAAAATCTACTTGCTTGCCCCGGCCAGGGGAAGGGGAAGTGCACACAGAGAAGAGGCAGGAGGAGGATGAGGAGGGGGAAAAGGTAGTGGTAGGGAGATGGTGAGGAGGGAAAGTTGGAAAAGGAGGAGGAGGAGGATACATAGAAGGAGGAAGGAGGAGACGGCAGAGCAGAGGGCGAGAGGTGGGCGCCCGCCAGAACGAGGAGGAACGGGCCCAGGGCAAACTAAACATATTATCGTGTGGGGTCCCACCGTCGGAATCTTTGCTCCTATCGTTTGTGCGTAGGCACCTTGCGAATAATGGAACGCGCTCGGTGATGCACAATGTCGAAACGTGTGTGGGGGGGGGGGAAAAGGGGGCGGCAGTATCATCACGCAGAAGACAGATGATGAGGAGGATGAAGAAGAGCAATAAGAGGGGGGATGATGGAGGGAGCATGGAGGATCGCGGGATGAGGGCGGATCTTCTACGCGACGAAACATTTAAGCACAGCAAACGTGTAACAGCGCGCTGGGGACACAACGGGACGAAGCCATAGAAGGCATACACAAAAAGATAGCCTTGAAACCAAACACTGTAACTAGGCTTCCTGCGCTCACGTGCATTCCACTCTGTAAGCTCGAGCGACACCACCCGACGGCGAATCCAAGTGTCTGGCAAGTATCGAAACGGAGCCAAACAACATGTGCACGCACGGTAACCTCAAACCAACAAATGGAACCAAGCCTCCTGCGCCCCTGTATGTTCGAACATTTGATTGTTGACAACATCTTAGATAAAGACATTGCCAAATTGCATTTCCGAGTGCAGAGAAGATGCCGAACGGCCCCAAAGATATCATAAGCCGTAAGCAAGCAATAACCGTTCACCAAACATTGATAACAGCCTCGGTGCATTTCAATCACAGGACAACAAAGGATACAAAACACATTGTCCGACAGCGGAACCACGCGTCTGGCATGTGTCATACCTGCCCCAGAGAAAACATAATCAATTGGCAATCTAACACCGAACATGTAACGAAGGATTCCTGCGTCCCCGTGAGTTGCACCCGTGAACTTCAACAGGACATCCACACGAAATCAGGTTGATTCCCCTCTCTGCCCTGAGGAACGAGCTGGAATGCTCCTCGAGCCCTCCGCCCTCAATCCTGACAATGAAAACTCGGAAGGCCCGGACCCTCAATTCCGGAGTTCTCCGGAGCTTCCTGTATGCTGGGTTCACCTCCCGCATGTCGAGGCCGGCCAAGAGGGGGGCGTCCAAGAAGGGGGGGCGCAAATCATGGCCGTCGGCGGGTGCGCGGCCCAGGGGGGCGGGCCAGGGACGTACCCAACGAAATGAGAAGAGGCGCCACGAAATCCAGGGAATTGTCATGGCCCACGCCATGACATCCGCCCCCCCCCCCCCTACGGCATCACCCTCCTCTCTGCCGCCCCCGAGCATGCCCAGGCGTGTCTAGGGGAACAAAAAGTGACATACACATAAAAACTCGGAGGTCCGCGCGGATGTCTCGGATCGGCGCTGGACACCCCCCTCCCTGGCGGGCGGAGCGCGCCAGGGGCGGCGCCGGAGGCGCCGCCAGGGGGGTCCAGCGCGGAAATCCGCGCGGACCTCCGAGTGTTTTTATGTTCATGCCACTTTTTCTTCCCCTACGCACAGCTCTCTCGGAGCAAAGGAAGGCCCCCACAGGGGCCAAGAGGGCCCCAAGAGGCGCCCCAGGACGGTCCAGGAGGGCCCTGGGTCGGCCCAGGGGCCCTCCAGCGGGCCCAGGGTGGCCTCACGACGGCCCGCGGTGCCGAGCGAGGGCCCCAAGAGCCCTACCAGGAGGGCAACGCCGTTGCTTTTCCTCGAGCCTCCGAGCGATTTTAGCGTTCCCGCCTTTTGCAGGATCTCGACGCTGCAGCACTGCCCCGAGAGGCCCCCAAGATCGCCCCAAGAGGCTCCAAATAGGTCCTCAAGACGACCTTTCAAGGCGCCCAAGACGGCCCATGAGGCCAGAGGTGGCCCAGATGGGGGACCTGAACGGACATTTCGAGCCCTCGGCCCCGAGGCCCTCAAGAGCGCTCCGAAGAGACCCCAAGAAACATCCCTGAGAACTCTGAGCCACAACCCAAGCACGGCGGCGGGATGGGCCGAAGGCCATTCCATATTATCATACGCACCTCGCCGAGGGAAGAGAGTTCAGAGGCGATACATGGAAACCGTCCGCTCCTGTTCGCGACTTTTCTGGCCGTTTCGCCCTGGGACACCATCATAATTCTGGAAACCAATCGCATCACTCGAGCAGATCGCGATGCCAGGGTCCGAACAACCTTATGTACTTATATGTTGATATTCTTATATCAAAGCAGCCCCCCTGCAAGAACATCACACATTACAATGACTTTGGACGTCGTTCTTAGAAAACCATCGGGTTCGTGTGAGGCATTCCCCCCCAATCTGACGAGTTTAAACTTGTCGCTGCATCTCCCGAACCTCCCGAACTGCAATTACGCCCCGCGAGATCCTCCAACAATTGGAAATCGAGTTTTAGTTTTCAACCGCAGTCGCAGGGTGTGGAACCCTCTCCTCCGCAACAGGCATCGCAAAAATTGACAACCCCACCTGCGTTCGACTGCGATCCCGCTATTGCACCTCCTTCCCAACAGCCCTCTGCTGATCCTTGGTATTCTTCTTCTCTCCTTTTCCCCTCTGTTGTCCAATCTCCTTCCTCTTCCTCGGAGAAGACCGACCGAAGCATACCAAAGTGAGTAAGGAGGGGGACGCCGAGGGGGAGGAGCAGGAGGAGGAGGACGAGGAAATGGGAAAGAGTGAAAAGAAGAGGACTAGGGAGACGACGACGATATGGATCACGAGAGGACGAAGAGTTTCTCCTCCAACCCGTCCTTCTGTCGTCACTCCCGCTCATTGCGAACGCACGACAGCGTCATCTCCGACTGTCCTGTGATGAACTCCGTGGCATCGTGCTGCATTTGCTTGCATGAGCCAAGGCACGCAAAGTGCCGCTTGTACAGACAGCCGCCACTGTGCCCTCCACAGCAGGCAGTGGAGTGCCCAGAGGCTCGTACAATTGTGCGTCGTAGAGGGGCTGTCGTTTTTTTTTTCTTGTTTGAAACCTTCCCCAGTTGAAGGGTTCAGGTTCGTAGCGTTTGGAGCCCGTAGAGGGGCTGTCGTGTTGATGCAAAATTGTAAGATTCTAAGGGGCCCGGCCCCCCGCGTGAGGACATACCCTTTGCTGCGCGACGAACTCCTATATGCTCCCGTAAAGCGTCCGCCCGCGCTGGGCGAGCTTCAGGGAAGCCGCAACGATTCCAAGAGTACCCCACGATGAGTCAAAGAGACCGAATCGTCCGAAGGTCGTTCCCAAACGCTCAGTGTGACCTCCGGACGGCTTAAAAAGAGGGCTCCACGAGGGCCCCGAGAAGCCAAATTCTGTGATTTCCTTTGGGTTGTTGTTGGATTTGGGCGTCCTCGCCTTTTCCGTTTCCCGACGCTCCAAGACGAGGAGGAGGACGAAAGAGGAGGGGGTGGAGGAGGAGGAGGAGGAGGCGGGGGATGAGGGAGGCGGACGGACGAGGAGCAGGGACGATCGGGTCCTTGAAGGGGTGGAACACAGCCGCGGCCGAATTCTCGCAGCTCTGCCAGCCCGCCGGGGGATCGCAATTCTCCTCCAACCTCAGCATGCTTTCTTATCCCGCTCGTCCTCATCCACCGCCTCTTCCTCCTCCTGCTCTTCCGACCTCAGCGCGTAATTGTTTCCCACACCTCCTCCTGCATTTCCTCCTCCTTCTCCATCTCCATCTCTACCTCTACCTTCACCTCTACTTCAAATCCTCCCGCTCCTCCTCTTCCTCCTCCTCCTTCGTATCACCCTCCTCCTCCCTCACCCCCCCGGAAGAACATCATCACCACAAAGAAGACATCAGAGAGCGGCCAACATTGGTCGCCAGACCCTTCTTTAGGGTGCTTCCCGATCCGCTCCTCGAGCTGCGTGTCGCCGTGGCGGCCAGGGCCCCGAAGGCCAAACGACAGGGACGCGGGAGGAGAGGACGGGATGAGCAGGAGGAGAGCCTGGCACTGCGCGGCACAGCGGGCCGCCACGCGCGCGCACGCGTACACTCCACAAACCCCCCAGCGAAGGCCTTCGAAACCTCGACCCTCGCATCGCACGTCGACCCTCGCACCCCGAGCCTCGAACCTCGATCATCCCCCACCTCTTCCTGCTCCAGCCTCTTCCTCCTCCTCCTCCTCCTCCTCCTCCTCATTCTTCTTCTTCCTCCTTCTCTTGCTCCTCCTCCTCTGTTCCTCCCTGCGCCGCGCCCCCTCTTCCTCCTCCTGCCTCCTCCTCCCTCCTCCTCCCTCCTCCTCCCACCTCCTCCTCCCACCTCCTCTTCCATCCCTTTTGCTCGCGCCGCGCACATTCGTGTCACAAGCTTGCACCAGCTCCAAGGATGTAGGGCGGCGGTCTGTTTTCAACATGTGGTTCTCGTCTGACAAGAGTTTGCAACGCGTTTGAGAACGGAGGGCGGCCTCTTTTCAGCATGCGGTCCTCGCTTCAGCGCCGCACACAGTTGTCTGAACAGTGTGCTGAAATTCCAGAAAGGCTCGCTGGGTTGAAGCCCCAGGAGTGATGGGTGTTCTGTCTCGATTTAGATTGTCAAGGCGGATGATGCTGCTCATGATGATGATGGTGCTGATTATGATGCGGATGATGCTGATGCGGATGATGCTGATGCTCATGCTGATGATGCTAATGATGATGCTGCTGATGATGATGAGGAGGAGGAGGAGGAGGAGGAGGATGGGGATGAGGATGAAGAGGAGTTGGAGGAGGAGGAGGAGGTGAAGGAGGATGAAGAAGAGGAGGGGGAAGATGAGGAAGAGGAGGAGGAGGAGAGGAGGAGGAGGAGGAGGAGGGAGGAGGAGGAGGAGGAGGAGGGGGAGGAGAGGAGGAGGAGGAGGAGGAGGAGGAGGAGGAGGAGGAGGGAGGAGGAGGAGGAGGAGGAGGAGGAGGAGGAGGCGGAGGAGGAGGAGGAGGAGGAGGAGGAGGAGAAGGAGGAGGAGGAGGTTGAGGAGGAGGAGGAGGAGAAAGTAGTGTAGTAGTAGTTGTAGTGGAGGAGGAGGAGGAGGAGGAGGAGGCGGAGGAGGAGAGGGAGGAGGAGGCGGAGGAGGCGGAGGAGGAGGAGGAGGAGGAGGAGGGAGGGGGAGGAGGAGGAGGAAGAGGAGAAGGCGGAAGGCCCTGACAATAACAAACCCAAGCGGACGAGCACGACGCCAGGGAGGCCGCCCACCGTTCGCTCGCCACTCCCTAGGGCACGGCTGCCGGGCGCCCCGCAGCAGCCCCGGCTCGTCCACGCGCTCGACGCCAAGCACCTGCGGCTGGCCCGCGGACGCCCTGGGAGGGGCCGCATGCGCGGCCTCCTCCTCCTCCTCCTCCTCCTCCTCCTCCTCCTCCTCTCTTCCTCCCCTCTCCTCCGCCTCCTCTCCTCCTCCCCTGCCCCTCTCCTCCTCCTCCTCCCTCCTCCTCCTCCGCCCTCCTCTCCCTCTCCTCCTCCGCTCCTCCGCCTCCACCTCCTCCGCCTCCTCCGCTCCTCCTCCTCCCTCCCCCTCCTCCTCCGCCTCCTCCGCCTCCTCCTCCTCCTCCTCCTCCTCCTCTTCCTGCTCCTCCTCCTCTTCCTGCTTGCCCCCACCGGGCGGCCTCGGCCCAGAACCCCTCGAGACAGGAGCAGAATCACGCAGCAAGGTTCCCTGCCGTTTTCGCCCTTTCTGGGAGCCCTCGCCGGGCCCCGCGAGGCCGTCAAAAGACGGCTCGGGACGAGAAAGCAGTCCTGGGGGAATGGGTCGAGACCTCGGGGGGTCGACATTCCAAGATCCCCCACGTCATGATTTTTTCGTGACGTCGACCTCCAGAGGTCTCGACCCCTTCCGCGGGACCAGCTTGTCATCCTGAGTCGTTTCTGGACGGCCCCGAGGCCTGGCAAGAGCCCCAGAGGCAGAACATATAGGAAAACCTCTCGCCGTGCTTTGTCACCACGCGAGGGGGTCTGGGCTGCGAAAAAAATCACGACGCCTGGGGTCCGGGGGCTCCCGCCCGGGCTCTGGCCCAGGCCTCCGCGCGGGCTCGGCCTCGGTCCTGGCGCCGCGCGCCCCCGGGCCGCCCTTGCTGTGCTGGTCTCCGTCGCCAGTGCGGCCAGTGACGGGGTGGGTGCACAGCCCCAAGAGTTTCACCAGCGAGCGCAGCATGATCTGATGCCCAGCCCCAAAATCTTCGACCTCAGCATGAACCGTCGAATCTCTCGCAATGTTCGGAAAACCAGGCCCAGGTCATCACAGCCTGAATCCTGGTCCCATCGCCGAACTCGTGTCGTCCCAAACCCGGGTTAGCACCTCCGTCCCAGACGCCCTGCGGGATTTTCGGCTGGACGCACCCTGCGAGCCTGGCGCCGCAGTCTCTCTCCTTCCGCGCTGGGCGTTGCTGCCCCGCGCCGGGCCCCGGGGCCCTCGCGGATCGATCCGGCGCGGGACGTGGCGCAGAAAGTGGGGTCTGGGGCTCCGGGCGTGATGGTTCACGATGCCGCAACTTCTTCGCTGCATCGGATCTCAGGGCCAAGTCTGGGGCCACACGCGGGGTATGCGATGGGGGGGCGTCCGTCCTCATTAGGGGCGCGTCCGAATAGCTCCCCTTGGCCCAAGGGGGTATCCCCGAGTTCCCCCCTCTTCTGAGTGTTTTCTTTCCCTGCGGGGAAGAACTCGGGGGTTTGTGGAGAGTCATCGCCTGCGAGCTGTTGATGGGGCCCAGATCTACGACGCTATGTTTTTCAATCGGGGCGTGCTTCCCATAATCTAAACCTCTGCGGCCAAGTGTCGGGCCCCAAGGATACCAGCGATGGATCCGGGATGCGAAACTACCTCCGGGTAAGGGGTCGGGAGCTCTGGGGCCGCGGCTTGAGCGTAACATATCGAGGGATGTCTGGGGGGGAGAAGGAATCTGGGCCGACCTGGATATTGAGCACGGTCTTGGTGCGCACTCTCTCTGAAGTGGGAGGGAGGGAGGAGGGAAAGTGGGACGGGGAGGAAGGAGGGAGGGAGGGGCGGAGGAGGGGGATGGGAGGAGGGAAGAAGAGGGGGGGGGGAGCGAGGGGTACGAGAGCGACCCATCTGGACTGGACGGAAGCGCAGGGCCTGAAGGCCTCGTCCCTCGGCCCGACAGCCCGACGACGAGGAGGCCAGCTGCGCACGGCATAATTAGAGCGACGTGCAGGCTGCGGACAGAAATGAGGGACGGGGGACAGCCATGAGAATTGGTTTCCCCCCAACGACACACTGGGCATCGCTCGGACGTCCATTTCCTGTGCTTTTTTCGGTTTCGCGCGTGGTTTTTTCGCCAAATGATCAAGGATGCTCCTCGATGGTCCTCACCGAAGGAAAAATGCACACGTCCGAGCGATGCCAAGCACAGGGATACCCTGTGCTCGACTCTCGAGACGGGAGCCCCCCCCGAAAAAGCATCGCGGGGGTCCTCCAAATCGGATCGGTGGCTTTCCCCGTGCGGGGGGCTCGGGCCCGTGGCAGCGCTCCGGATCTGGGCCGTCGGATCTTGCCATCGCTCGGGACGTCCCTTCCCCGTGCACGTCTCGGCTTCGTGCGTGCTTGTTTGCCAGGCGATCCAGGATGGCATTTTTTGGGGGCTACGATGTGTTCCAAACTTTCCGGTGGCATTCCTAAGGAATGTCGCTGTGCATGCTCATCCCCGTGTTCTGAATCAGGACTGGCCTTTGGGCCGATCGGGCGTTGCGTTGCGTTGCGTGCCAGGATGCTCCTAGATGGTCCTCGCCGGGGAAAAAGGCACGCGTCCGAGCGATACCACATTGCAATTCATTCTTACTCGAGACATGCTCGGAACCATCGCTTTAGACCTTTGCCGCCAGGCCCGCGCAACGCTCCATGCGCAAGGACAGGATGGTGGCCCGAGCGCGCAGCACATCCTTATACACAACCAGCCTGCTGCGTCTGGTGGCCGAGCGCAGTGAGCCGTGCAGCTCATCACCTCCGACGGCGGCGCCTCAGGCACCGGGTCTTCGTGGTTCCGCCTGCTCTTACTCACCTGGCTCGTCCCGCTGCCGGTCCTCCTCGGGCTCCCGCTCCTTGTCCTCCACTTCCTCTTCCTTCTCCTCCTCCTCCTCCTTTCGCCCTCTGCCCTCCTGTCCTCCTCTTCTTTCTTGTGCCCGTTCCTCGTTCTCCTCCTTTTCTCTTCCCCACCCTTCTCCTCCCTCTCTCGTCCCTCTCTCCCTCACTCACTGTTTTCCTCCTCCATCCTCCCCCCCTCTTTCCCTCCCCTCCTCCGCTCGCTCCTCCTCCTGCTCCTCCTCCTCCCCCCTCCCGCTCGCCCTCCTTCCCTCCCCTCGCCCTCCGCATCCCCCTCCTCCTCGCGGAGGAGAGGCCTTCATCAGGCACTGGTCCATGAACATGTCCTCCCCCCACTCGCACGGTCCTGAGCAGACCGTTCCGAAGTGCGCCTCGGGCGGTGGGGGGGGGAGCACCCAGCCCCATCGTTCTTGGGGAAGAGGGACACGAGAGACGATGGAGGAGAAAGAGGTCCCCTTCGCTGCCCAACTGTCAAATTCAACCACTTCTCGTCCTCCTCCTCTTCCTCCTCCTCCTTCTCCTAGACCGTTTCGTTGCCCTCCTCTATTTCTTCTACTTCCTCGCCCTCCTCCTCCTCCTCCTCCTCTTCCTCCTCCTCCTCCTCATACCACCTCCCCCTCTCGGCCTCGACATCCCCCTCCTCCTTGGCCTCATCGTTCTACGCCTACTTGTCTCCGTCCTCCTATTCGTGCGTAGAGAACCTCCTCCGCGTCCGCGCACCCCTCTCTGCGAGCCTCCTCCCGCCCCCTCCTGCTCGCTCAACGCTCCTGCCTCCTTCTCCCGCCTCCTTCTCCGCTGCCCCTCCCCCGCTCTCCTCCTCCTCGCCCTCCGCTCTCATGCCTTCTCCCGATCCCTCCTCCTCTGAAGGGGCCCTGGGACACACAAATAAATACACACACATAAAACAGTTCCCCATATTTGTTTCTCATATTTTCTAGGTTTTTGTTTCCCCCCCCTCTTCCCATATTTTTCCATATTTTCTGGGGGATCGACGATTCATTGTATCTGTGTGTTTTTTTTCCATCCTGATCCTCTGCCCTCCACACTCCCATCCTCCTGTGCCATCCTCCTCCACCATCCCGCTCCCTGTCTGACTGCGTCAAGGTCCCAGGCTTCCGAATATCCTCCCGCTCACTCCTCCTCTGCCCTTCCTTCCACCGGCCTCCTCCTATAATCCTCCTCCTGCTCCTCCCCCGCCTCGGCGTCGGCGTCGACATGGACGACGTTTTGGCTACGACCTCAACGCTGACGTCGACGACGGCTCTGACGTCGACGACATCGACGCTGACGGTGGCGATGCCCACCGGCTGCGGCGGCCCGGCCGCCCGCCTGGCAGCCCGGTATGCCGCCCCACCAGACCTCCACGGCCCTCCGGGACAGCACCTCGACGGGCCCGTGCATGCCGCGCCTGGAGCAGCGGAGGGGGTCGTCGTCGTCGTCGTCGTCGGAAGAGGAAGAGGATCGGGGATCTACTGATCCGGGTCAATCCTGACGCAGGCCAGTCGGGCTTCGCAGGGTCCTGCAAGATCCTGCAGGATCCTGCACCCAAGCCCCCGCAGGATCCTGCATCCAAGCGCGGGTCAGAGCGACCCTGGCCCTGCAAGATCCTGCAAGATCCGGCGCTCTGACTGACCCCGGTTTGCACTGACCCCCGTCTGTAGAGGCCGCCTAGATGGGGTCGGAGGATCGCGCCGCATCGCCGATACATCGGCGATGCATCGGCGATGCGCCGGCGATGCATTGTCGACGTCGAAGTGAAGCAAATCCGCCGACACTGTCGGCGTGTGTGAGGGGCTTGTCTGTTCGAGTCGTCGTCTCCGTCAGTCGTCGTCTCCGTCGTCCCCTGCCCCTGCACCCTCCTCCTCAAGCTCGTCAGCGAGAGAAACATCTACGAAGGTCGCAATCGAGTCGAAGGGAAGCCCCTTCGTTTTGATCCCTCCCCCGTCGGCGGGGGGGCTCTGGGGGTGGGGGGGTCAGATACCCATCCCCCCTCGAGGGCCCCGGGGCCTCAGGAAATACCAAGACAGGCGAAGATTGCCCCAAGAGGCCCCCAAGACGGTCCAAGAGGGTCCCCAATCGCCAAACGATCGGTCCCAAGACGCCTTCACGCCCTCCAGACTGCCCAGGAGGCCTCCAGGACGCCCCAAGACGCCTCCAAGAGCACTCCCGAGAGGGCCCCAAGAGGCCAAATTCATTATGTATATATAAATATATATGTATGTACTTATGTATATATATATACATAAATACATACATACATACATACATACATACATACATACATACATACATGCATGCATGCATGCATGCATGCATGCATGCATGCATGCATGCATACATACATACATACACACACACATACATACATACATACATACATACATACATACATACATACATACATACATACATCACATACATACATACATACATACATACATACATACATACATACATACATACATACATACATACATACATACATACATACATACATACATACATACATACATACATACATATACACACATATACATATATATATATATATATACACATACATACATACACACACACTAGAACCACGCGCGCGCTTCGCGCGCGCTTAGATTCTAGCGTGTCACAGACACAGTAATCGCTGTGCGAAAACATGTATGGAGTTTGTCTCAGGCAAGTGAGGACTCTAGTGGCAACACCTGCTTGAGGCACCGCCGGGGACGGACCCTGTGTAGTGTGGACAATCGGACCAGCTCTCTGGTCGACCCTCTTGGGCGCGCCCTGGGGCTCTCTTGGGCCGTTTTGGGGGGCCCATTGGGGGGATGTTTCGTGGCCTCTTTTGGTGTTTTTTCTGGTCTCTTGGGGGCCTCTAGGGGCTTCTTGGGCGCTTCTTGGAGCCTCTTGGGGTGGGGGCCTCTTGGGCCCAAACGCTCGAATATTCGGTTCCTCGTCCCCGTATTGGGCGCCGACTTGGGGCGTTCTTGGGCGGTTTTGGCGCCTCGGGAGCCGTCTTGGCCCCCTCGTGGGCCGTCTTGGAAGCCACTTGGTGGCATCCTCGACCGTCTTGGGTGCCTCTTGGGCCGTCTTGGACGCAGTGGAAACCCAAAAAGCGAAAACGCAAAAACATACAACAATTTCCGTATGGGAAATCTACGATTTTTGCGTATTCGCACTCTCTCGGGGTGCACTTTGGGGCGTGTTCGGGGCCTCTTTTTGTGTTTTTGCGGGTCTCTTGGGGACCTCTTGGGGCTTCGTGGGCTCTTCTTGGAGCCTCTTGGGGTCTCCTGGGCCAAATGGCTCGTGTTTTCGGTTCCTCATCCCCGTCTTGGGCGCCGACTTGGGGCGTTCTTGGGCGGTTTTGGCGCCTCGGGAGCCGTCTTGGCCCCCTCGTGAGCCATCTTGGAAGCCACTTGGTGGCATCCTCGACTGTCTTGGGTGCCTCTTGGGCCGTCTTGGACGCAGTGGAAGCCCAAAAGGCGAACACGCCAAACATATCAGTTTACCGATAATTAGGAAATCCACGATTTTTGCTTATTTGGGTGCCCCTTGGGGCGTCTTCGGGGCCTCTCTTTGTGTTTTTGCGGGTTTCTTGGGGACCTCTTGGGGCTTCTTGGGCGCTTCTTGGAGCCTCCTGGGGTCTCCTGGAGGTCTCTTGGGTCAACAGGCGCGGATTTCCGGTTTCTCGCCCCCGTCTTGGGCGCCGCCTTGGGTCGTTCTTGGGCGGTTTAGGCGCCTCGTGGGCCATCTTGGCCCCCTCATGGGCCGTCTTGGGGCCCTCTTGGGGGCACCCTCGACCGGCTTGGGTGCCTCTTGGGCCGTCTTGGACACAGTGGAAGCCCAAAAGGCGAACACGCCAACAACATCAGTTTTCCCATCGGAAATCTACGATTTTTGCGTATTGGGACTCTCTCGGGGTGCCTCTTGGGGCGTCTTCGGGGCCTTCGGGGGCCTTCTTGGCGTCATGGGAGTCGTCTTGAAAGGCATCTGGAGCCATCGGAGCGCGTTTTCGAGCGTTCCGAAGCCATCTTCGGACGATCTTGGACGGCCCCCGGCGCTATGGCAGGGCTCCCCGCGCGCCGGGCCCCACATTTGCGGTCGGGGTCCCGGCCCCCTGGCCCCTGGACCCGGTCCCTCTTATATGTATACTAGAACCATCGCGCGCGCTTTGCGCGCGCTCAACTTCTAGCTAGGCTTGATAGGCTAACTCATGTAATATCATTTTGGTCGCTTCTGGCGTCCACGGACTCCCTTGCCTTCTTGGCATTTTCCTCCAGTTGTTCACTGGAAGCGCTCTGGGAACGGCTGGGGATTGCTTCAGGCAATCTCTGGGAAGGTTATTTTTTCTGCTCTGGAGAAGGAGTGGCGCCTTTGAGCAGCTTCTGCGAGGTGGATTCGTAGCGTGGGGGGTGCGCGCGAATTTGGTGTAATTTGCAGGGGATCGTGGCCTGCTGGGCGCGACAGCGGCGTAATTTACAAGGGATCGTGGCTTGGGGGGCGCGAATGTGGTGTAATTCACGCGGGATCGTGGCCTCGGGGGCGCAAATGTGGCGTAACTTACGAGGGATCGTGGCCTGGGGGGGTGAATGTGGAACCCACCGCCGAGTTTTCCAGAAACGGGGGGGGGGGGGGGGCAAAAAAATACCAGCGGAATGCATATCCCAATGCAGAAAATTGCCGTTTCTCTGCTTTGGAGAGGGGGAGCGCCTTTTCGGCAGCCTCCGCAAGGCGGATTCGTGGCTTCGGGGGCGCGCCCGCTGTGTAATTTACGAGGGATCGTGGCGTCAGGGGCGCGAATTTGTCATAATTCACGGGGAATCGTGGCCTCAAAAATGCGAAAATGATGCATATCCCTTGGGATCGTGGCTTCGGGGGCGCGAATGTGGAGGCCCTGCTCAAGCCTCGGAAACGCAGAAATCACTAATTTCCTTGAGGTATTCAACGATTTGGGGCCCTCAAAGGCTTCCTGGATTCTGAATTGTGGTCTGTTGTGCAAGAGTGGACCGGGGGCCAATCTTGAAAATAAAAAAGGAATTGTGGGATTTCAATGCTTTTCCAGTTCCTCGGCGCTGTTCGGCGCTGTTTTTTGTTTGTGCCTCGCGGGTTTGTTAGCCGGGCCCCTCAGGGGTGTGGGATCTTCCGGACCCCCTGGAGCTTCTGGAGGCCTCCTAGAGGCCTGGCGAGCCGCCGGAAGGGTGTCTCGGGCTGCGCGGAAGCGTGTTGGGCCGTTCTTTACGTTCTGGGGGCTCCTTGAGGTCGTCATGGGCTGTCCTTCGGCGTCTTCGGGTCTCCCCCCGGGAGGCCGGGAGGCGCGGTACCGGCCAGATGTCAGGGGATGTGTGGGACCCCCGAATAGGAGTCCCACTTTGAAAAAAGAAAAAGGAATTCGGGGAATTCCGCTTGTTTTTTCAAGATCCTCGATCTTCGTGGGTTGGAAGCAGGAAAACGTGAGAAGGCGAAAAACATTAGAAAAACCACCGGGAATCAACGGTTTGACCCTCTTTGGGCTCTCTCGGGACGGCTCTCGCAACTCTCTTGGGCTATTCTTGTAGCCTCGTCGGGATCTATTTGGAGCCTCTCAAGGATCGGGTGTGTGTTGGGGGCCTCTGGGGGGTCCCAGAGGCCTCTCGGAGGTCTCTGGAAGCCTCCGGCTCCGGCTCTTGGGCCCATCTTGGGCCTGTTCTGGGGTGGTCTGGGGCTGTCCTGGGCGCCTCTTCGGCAATCTTGGAGCCTTCTTGGCTCGTTTTGGGGCCGTCCTAAGGGTCTCTTGGGTGGTCTCGGGGCGGTCTTGGGAGCCTCTTCGGCGCTCTTGGACCATTGAAAGCTCGAAAACACGAGAAGCCAAAAACATGGAAACAACCAATGAACATCTACGATTTTGGCCGCTTCGGGCCGTCCTGGGACGCCTCTCGGACCTTTCCTGTGGGTCTCTTGGAGGCCACCTGGGAGCCTCGAGAGCCGTCGGAAGGCTGACTTGGGCTGCTCGGGAGCGTCTTGGACCATTCTTTCGAATTCTGGGGGCTTCTGGGAGGCGTCTTGGGCCCTCCTGGGGCGCTGTGGAGGCTCCCCAGAAAAGCTGGGGGAACGGTACCGGGAGCGTCCCCGAGATGTGTGGGGGAGGTGTGGGACCTGGGGCCGGAGGGGGCGGTATTTGTTTATATTACATAGAACCGCGCGCGCGCTTCGCGCGCGCTTGGGTTCTAGCGCATGGCATGGCGTTGTTAGCTGCGCGTGCTTTTCGGACAGGCTCATTGCATGCCTTGACTTACCTCGTCCTCCAATATTCCTTATACGTCCTTCCTCGTTAACCCTCCGGACTCTCGCGGTTGTCCTCGCTTTTCTTATCGATGGCCTCCTCTTGCTTGGGATTATGCGGGGGCTTCGAGCTTTTCAGGGCCGGCGTGGGAAGATATTCAATATGAAGTGGGCTGGCTTGAAATGTACAAGTCTCCTGTGGATCTTCCTTTTTGGGCTGCCTTGAAGGCCTTTGGGCCCGGTCCACCGTTAGATGTATTTATGTGTATAAAAAAGATTTTGGCGCTTTCGCCTTTTCCACTTCCCGCCGCTCCAAGACAGCGCACGAGGCGGAGGTCTGCGAGGGGCGGCGCCGCCCTGGGAGAGAAGGCTCGCCCCCTCTCTCGCGCCCCCCCCCCCTCGGCGCGCCGTCGAGACAGCGAGACACAAAGGGAGGGATGGGAGGAGGAGGAGGAGCATATGGAGGAGGAGGAGGAGGAGGAGGAGGAGGAGGGGGAGCAGATGGAGGAGCAGATGGAGGAGGAGGAGGAGGAGGAGGAGGAGGAGGAGGAGGAGGAGGAGGAGAGGTATAATGATGATGACAATGCTGAGGAGCAGAAGCGAAAGGGGCAGGTTCAGCTCATCTTTTGTACTGTAAGCTCGGCCGCGCGCGTGACGTCTGTGCGACTGGCTCCGGGAGCAGCGCGCTTAGCCAAGGATGGAGGCTCCAGCCGTCGCGACTGGCTCTTGCGAACAATCGCCATCGACGCACGATGTACGGACGCATCCTGCAAGCCCGTCACCAAAGGGCATTGAGATATGGTTCCGCGTGCCTTTCAACGACCCCTCTTGGTCCCGCCCTCTCACCCGTGGCACTCGCCAACGTAACCAACTGCCAGCAATGAAGCAACGCGGGCTGGCGGAAGGAACGACTGGATGGAACAACAGTAGGTGGCAGTAAGCGGAGGGGGAGGAGTGAGGACCAGATGGAGATCGAACGTCGAGGGCACACGTTCTGGGGGGGGCTTGTCGCCACAACTGGACTGTCCTCGAACATCTGGTCAGAAAAGCACGCACGCACAGGTCAGGGGAAAAAGATGCGGAGGTGGGGGAGGTGGAAACGGAAGGGGAAGGATGTGGACAACGAGGCGGAGACTGGGCAGGGGGGGAGGAGGAAGGTGGACAAGGAGAGGGAGTCGGGGGAGGGGGAGGAGGAGGAGGAGGAGGAGGAGGAGGAGGAGGAGGAGGAGGAGGAGGAGGAGGAGGAGGAGGAGGAGGAGGAGGAGGGAGGCGGATAACTGCTATCTGCGCAAGAAAAAAAGCCAAGGAGGGGGAGGCCAGGAGGCCAATCGGACAGGGAAGAAGGGGAGGGGCGCGAGGGAGGACAGGGAAACACATGATGAGGAGGAGGAGGAGGAGGAGGAGGAGGAGGAGGAGGAGGAGGAGGAGGAGGAGGAGGAGGCCGAGGAAGAGCAGCAGGAACAGCAACCGGCGGACGAGGACGACGAGCGAGGAGGAGGAGGAGGAGGACCGACGACGAGAGGCGGAAGGACGAGAGCACGGGCGGCGGCAACGGCAGCGACGGCGGCGCGGGCGAGGGCGCGCCCGCGGCCTGCAATTGTTCAGGTACAGCCCGCTGGCGCGCTCGGGGTGGCGGGCAGCGTATCCGCGGAGGCCTCCGCTCGAGCGTCTTGGGAGGGGCGGTGGGGGAGCGGCAAGGGCTCCCAACTTCGCGCTTCGCGCTGCGCGAAGCGCGAAGTGCGAATAACTTCGCGCTCTCGCGCCGCCTCCCAGGGGAGAAGGGGAGGATGATGAGGGGTCGGAGCCGAACCGCGAAGCGCGAATAACTTCGCGCCCTCGAGGGCGCTCTTGGGGAGTGGAGGGGTGCGGGGCGGGCTGGACGTATGGAAGGAGACGGATCGCAGGAGACACCAACCATCGGACGCTGGGTGGGCCTGCACTATGCGCCGCGTGGGTGCCGGCAGGGTGGGGCCGAGGCGCCAAGCAATTACTCGACGGGCCTCAGGAGGCGCAAAGGTTTCTGGGGTGGCTCTGGGGCCAGGAAGTATCTTCAAGGTACCAGGGAAGAGGCGAAGGTGGGTGGTGTCCTCCTCCTCCTCCTCCTCCTCCTCCTCCTCCTCCTCCTCCTCCAACACCACCACAACCACCACCTACTCCTCCTCGTCCTCCTCCTCCTCCCTTCCTTAGCTTCTGTTCTCCTGCTTCCCCACTGTTCCCTCGTCCTTCCTCCTCCTGCTGCTCCCACCTCCCCGCGCACGTCGATCACCCCTCCGTCCCTCCCTCTATTCCACTCCCCCCTCGCCCTGCCCCTCCCAATCTTTTTTGTTGCTGACTGGGCGTGGCCCGAACTATACACATGCTCCGCTCGCCATCGCTCCAGAACGTCCTACCCCTTTTTCAATCCATCAGCTCAAGCTCTTGAATGGCCTATGGCTGGAGACGACTACCTCCGACAACATACCACATCGGGCCCTAGAGCAAGAACCCGGTTGCGCTGCCGCTCCGCAACTCAACAGCACAACGCTATACATGTATGTGTACAATATATACACGTAAATATTATATATGTGTGTGCGTGTACGTACGCGTACATAGTTGAGCGATTACCCATGTATCCGTCACCGTACCCTGAGGCACGAGCTGGAGTGTCCTCAGAACCCTTCGAGTTCTCTGTGTTGAGTCTTGTACATTTTGGTTCAGGGGCCGAGGGCCCAAACTTCCGAATCTTCTGGGCGGTCCTAGGCGCTCCAGAGGTCGGTCGCGTAACTTTTCCAAAGGCAAGAGCGTCCCCAGACGGGCGAAGAGGGCCCCAAGAGGACCACAAGCAGAGAAAGATGTTGATTCATTTTGAAGATCCCGCCGTTTCGGGCTTTCGACGCTCCCAGGCGGCCCACGAGGCCCCTAAGAGCGCCCCCAGACGGCCCAATCTGGCTCCAAGACGGACCAAGATGTCCTTAAGACGGCTAAGGTGCCATGGGGGGTCCGAGAGAGGCCCCAGAGGGGGAACAAGCACCGACAATTCGAGCCTTTCGCCCCAAGATGGCCCGCGAGTCCGCCAGCAGGCCCCCAAGAGGCCCCCAGAAGCTCCAAAACTCTTGCGAGATCCAAATCGGGCACCAAGAGGCGCCCAAGAAAACCCCGAAAGGTCGAGAAGCCAACAAAGCACCCCACAACCGACTCCAAGAAACTTCCGAGAGGCCTCCCAAGAGATCCCCACAGGCATCCCAGAGGCCTCTGACCTACGACCCGGGCACGGTGGTGGGATGGGCCGAATGCAAGTGGATCCGCCGCCCTCTGTTGGCTTGCCACAAGGGTGCCCAGTGTCCTGAATCCTTTCGCTTTTGGTTTTGTTTCTTTTTCCAAAAGAACTCCCCCTGGGGTTTCGGCCCGTCCCGCCGGCCACCCGGAAAAGTGCCCAAAAGGTGGTCGCAAAGGGTTTTTCGGCTTCAGACGGCTCCAAGATGGCTCCCAGGCTCCCCTGTGGTCGTGCCACAAGTGGAGCCCGGCGTGCTGGATCCTGCTGGTTTTCTCTTTCCGAAATAACTCTCCCCTGCCTGTCCCGCCGGCCACCTGGAAAGGACCGGAAACGATCACAACTTCCGCAAACCATCCCCTAAGACGCCGGCCTCCGAGGCGGCTAAGATGGCCTCCAAATTCGCCGCCCAAGATGGTCCAAGATGGCTTCGAAGACGGCCCAAGAATGTCCAAGATGCCTCCACACTCCCCCCAGAAGCCTCCAAGACGGCCCAAGCTGACTCCAGGATGGCCCAAGACGCTCCGAGACGCCCCCAAAAAGAGGCCTCCAAGACGGAGCAAGAGGCCTCTGAGAGGTCCTCCAAAGGCCCGAAGAGGCCCAAATCATGTATTAGCCGTCGGCTTTTCAAGGATTTGGGCATTTGCTTCCTTTTGGCCTTCCGACGGCCCGAGACGGCCCAAAGCCTCCAAAGATCGGCCCAAGATCGCCCAAGAGGCCTCCAAGATGGTCCCAGAACGGCCCAAGAGGCCCCCAATACGGCCTGAAGGAGCCCCAAGAAGGCCCAAGAGCCCACCAAGACGCCCAAGATGGCCTTCAAGACGGCCCTGGAGCACCCCACGAGGGCCCGAAGTCGGCCCAGAGAGGCCCCCAAGACGGCTTCCGACAGGCCAGGAGCCCACCAAGACGGCCTAAGATGGCTCCATTGATTGATTTTACTTAGGTGTTTGAAGGAGTTTGGCATTTGCTTCTTTTCGGCCTTCCAATGGCCCGAGACGGCCCAAGCACCCCCAAAGATCGCTCCCAAATCGCCCCAAAGGCCTCCAAGATGGTCCCGAGGCCCCAAAGATGGCCCCAAGAGGGCCCCAAGACGGCCCAAGAGCCCACCAAGACGCCCAAGATGGCCTCCAAGGCGGCCCTGGAGCACGCCAAGAGGGTCCCAAGTCGGTCCAGAGAAGCCCCCAAGACGGCTTCCAACGGCGTCAGACGGGCCAGGAATGCCCTAAGACGGACAAGGAGGCCCGCGAGAAGCCCTCCAAAGCCCCCAGGAGGCCCCCAGGAGGCCCAAGGAGGCCCTCAGGATACCTCCAAGAGGCTCCCAGGAAGCTCCCAGGAGGCCCCACCCCAGAGGCTCCCCAAATGCCCAATCCTTTTTCCTCCTCCTCCTGCTATTCCCCGCCATCCTCCCCAAAGTGTTCCCCGAAGGGTTCCCACAACGACGGGGGGAACACATGGTCCGATAGCTTGGCAGAGCTCTTGACACAACGCTCGGCCACATGAGCGATCCCAATAGGCAGGGGGCGGCGGTGATTCGCGTAGGCGTCTTCGTAACCATGGATACAAACAACGACACCATTGATATTGCATGGGCCTGCACCGGATGCCCATCATGTTGCAAAATCAGATGACACATGCCAATCCTGATGCTGATCACCATCGCTATCGCGCTCACAAGCACCCCAAACATCACGCCTGCAATTGAACTCACTGTCATCATCAACAACACCACACATTTCATCACCATCACCATCACCATCACCATCACCATCACCATCACCATCACCATCATCATCATCATCATCATCATCATCATCATCATCATCATCATCATCATCATCATCATCATCGTCATCGTCATCGTCATCGTCATCATCATCATCAGCATCATCATCATCATCATCATATCATCATCATCATCAAAATGATTGCACGCTTGTTCCTCAATCGCATCCTCTCAATCGGGGCCGTCGCTTCCAGGGAACGCCTCCACAATCAGAGCCGCGGTCAACACCGCCACAGCTGCTGCAATATCAGCACGCTCCAACGCCACCACCTTGGAAACCTCACCACAACTGCCGACTGTATGCTTGCTTCGCACCTACCACCCACCACCGCCGTCGCGATCGCAACGGCCGCCGCTGTACTGCGACGCTTGATGCCGCTACTGCTGCGGCCGCTACTCACGGGGCAGCTAAAGAAATACTGCAAATCATACAATCAAGACTTCTCGGAAGAACGAGATGCATCGATCCTGCATCAATGTGGATGCTGAGCTGGCATGGTGGCGAGGTCTATTACTGACGACGCGTGGCTACGATGATAATCATGTTGACAACTCTCTGAAACATGGTATGCGCAATAACTAAGGCTTCCGTTATTGAACGGCATGTGCCATACCGGTCAAAAGCACTAACAGCGGCTTCTTCTCCTTTGGCCACATCGGGCAATTAACAATAACAATGATTGCAACTATCCGCTAAAATGCCGCGAAGCACCGCGTGGAGTGTCCTCAAGGTCGGCCCAAGAAGCAGACCGCTTGGGAACTCGCACGTGTTGTCATGACTTTGGTTCACTGGCGCACCCAAGTGGGTGCAAAGACAGCCCCCGAGGCCCCCCAGGCCCACGATGGGGAGCTCGAAGGGGCGGCTGCGAGGTGGCACCCGAGAACGCCTTTGGGCCTCTAGACCCCAAAGAAGCCCTGACGAAAGGCCCCAGAGGCCCTCAGGTGGTCCCCAGGATCCCTCCCCTATGGCCGCCAGGAGGTCACAAAGAGGCCTCCAACAGATCTCCCAAGAGACACCAAGAGAAACCTCTTGCCGATGATCCAAGTAACATGACAGGATAGGCAGAATGCCTCAAACATCAAATGGGTCTGAATCTATAACGGTAGTGCGATTATACACGTGAGCTCACGTAGCCACTAACATGCTGGAAGGCTAGCGCACCGTCGTACGAGCAAATGCTGGAGCTCATGCCATAGTGACCAGAAATATGCGGATGTTGCCGATGAGAAGGTTGATTAGGCTGAGGAACGAGAAAGGGCGAGTATGAATGAGGCCGGGGAGGGATGATGGAGGAATGGGGATGAGGAGGATGACGAAGAGGAGGAAGGAGGTGATAGGAGTACGGTAAGGGCGATGACGTTGTGGATGAGGAGGCATGGGGAAGACATGCATAGAGCGAAATCTAGCGACGACAAAGACTAAAAGCAACGGGAGACTGGTCATTGGGAGACGAGTGCGAATGCGTGCGGGGCGAGGACCAAGAGGATAGGGAGGAACAGGTCGGGGAGGAGGCTGAGAGAAAGGGAGATTGGGAGGACGAGGAGTACGACGAGAAACGAGGAGAAAGAAGATGACGAACAAAAAGGCAGAGGCGGCGGAGGTAGCATATCCAGGGGAGGTAGCGCAGCCTCTGCAGTCCCCACACGCCCGACGCTTCGGCGCACGAATTGCAGAGGGCGCGGCGTTGCGCCATGAACACGGCGTCTGGGTCGACCTTGACGGTGAAATCGTGAAATCTGAAGCGCCCATCGCTGACAATTCGTGCCCAAACCTGGGGGAGACTCACCCCTCCAGCCCACCCGATGTTCAAGAAATAATCGCCAATCGAAGAACCATGACCCTTCGGTGGCAGTTCATGGAATCCTCCCGTACCATCTTGTTGACTCTCGAGAATCGACGCTACTCGAAGCTAAGTCGACGATGCTCGACGCTACATCGGCGCTATCTCATCGATTACTCAACGCTAATCGACGCTAGTACGCTGTAAAGAACGATTTGCGAAAATAAGTATACAACGCTCACGTGGTTTACAATCGCATTACGCCGGAAACCGCCAGCCAACCATCTGGCCAACCCTGGTCAAGATAATTCCCTCCACGAGACATGGTACTTCGGCTGCTGCCGCCGCCGCTGCTGCCCCTGCAACTGCTGCCTAGCCACTGCCACCGCCACTACCACTGCTGGCCATCCTTCTCCAGTCATGGTCGGGCTGCTGTTCTAAGAAACAAAACCCCTGGCATTCCAAGGCAAGCCGTTAAATCCGACATTACGGCCGTAGAGTCCGCAGGAACACCGAAGGGGCTCGCCACCAAAAAAGCAACGGAACGAACGCAAACCTAAAGAACCACTGAACCCCTTCCGACCTCGAACGAGACCTTCTCTCAACGTGATGACTGTAGTGGGCTCGCCCAAGAACCGTGCTTCATTTGAGGCTTGATCCGGCAGCATCAACACATCTCATCTGACATTCTGCTTTGGTGCCTACTCCCAGGCCCTGTTGCCGACACAGGTCGCATCTCCAGAGAAGCCGCGGCGCGAGACCGCGATGAAGATGTCGGTGTTCAGGGCCGTCTTGAACTCGCCGCCCTTGACGCACGCAACCGCGGCGGCCGCGACCACCGCGCCGCCGCCGCCACCGCCGCCGCCGCCGCAGCCGCCGTCGCCGCCGCCGCCGCCGCCGCCACCGCGGCCGCCGCCGCCGCCGCCGCCGCCGCCGCCGCCGCCGCCGCCGTCGTCGTCGTCGTCGTCGTCGTCGTCGTCGTCGTCGTCGTCGTCGTCGTCGTCGTCGTCGTGGTCAAAACTCGACGCGGATGCAAGCGTCGCCGCGAGGGCCCTCCAGAGGCCTCTTGAGGGGAAGCTCGGAAATTCTTCAAATTGTTCATCTCTGCGTCGTGGTCGTCCCGACTTCTCATGGGGTGCGTTCTGACCATGGCCTCGGTGATGCCAATCATGCCGCGGCCACCAAGGCTCCCTAAAACAACGCACAAAAAAATGGAAACGGGACAATCATCATCGTCGAAGTCGTCGTCGGCTTTCGATCGTCGATCCGTACTCCTTGTCCCACGACTCCGTTTGGGGCGATCCCAGCGGCCCCGAAAACCTTTCGAAAAGACGCAGATGCTGGAAAACATCTAGTGGTCCGAAAAACTCCACATTCACTTGCCGTCGCAATCGCCGCCGTCGTCGCCGCCGCCGCTCTCCGTCGGTCGTCGTCGGTCAACGATTGCTGATTGTCTTTGTTGTCCGCCGCCTTTGCGCACGCGAGGCTGCTCGCGATCGGCTGCGAAGTGAGGCCCGGGGCCACCGTCAACGTGACGTTGCTGGACGCGGGCCCACGACGTCGGGCGGGCAGCGGATGGATGCGGGAGAGGCGGGGGAGAGAGAAAAAGGAGAAAAAGGGGCAAGGGAGGAGGAGGAGGCGAGGGAACACGAGGAAAGGGAGAAAGCGAGGGAGGAGGGAGGAAGGGGAGGAGGGGGAGGGAGAGGAGGGGGTGGAGGAGGGGCAGGAGGTGCGACCAGCGCGGTGCCGAATCCGCGCACGAGTCGTCAACCGGTCCGTTAAAAGACGCGCGTGAAGCTGGCCAAGACGAAAGGGTCGTCCTGGAGTGCGAGGGGGAGGAGGAGGAGGTACGAGAGTACGGCGTCCACTGAATTGCGGAAAAAACACAACATGTACTACGCTACGCACAAAGGTTTTCGTCCCGAATATCACGCACGATGTGGGTGGGAAAGACGCCCTCCACCCTCTCGTCTCGCTCCTTGACGACCTCTTGATCCTCGGGACTGTGGGATTGGTCGGTTGGGGCCCCTGTCCCCCCTTTTCCCCACAACGGAAACGACGCACCCGTGCGTGGTTGCGTATCGCGGCCCTTCGCGAGAAGCCACCCTGGGGCGCCAACTTGCGGCGCGGGCAAGGGATTGCTTCCGCAACGTTGCGGGAGAGAGAGAGAGAGCGATAGAGAGAGCGATAGAGAGAGAGAGAGAAAACAAAAAACATAGAGCCAGAGAGGGAGAGATAGATACAGAGAGAGAGAGAGATATAGTGAGACAACAAAGAAAGAGAGGAAGAGAGAGAGAGAGAATGAGAAACAACAAAACACACACATGTATAGTATATGAACAAACAAAAAAACAAGGTAATGGCATATAGAGAAAGAGAGAAATCAAGGGAAGGCGGATGAGGAGAAGGAGGAGGAGGAGGAGGAGGAGGAGGAGGAGGGGGAGGAGGAGGAAGAGGAGGAGGAGGAGGAGGAGGAGGAGGAGGAGGAAGAGGAGAGGAGAGGAGGAGGAGGAGGAGGGAGGAGGAGGAGGAGGGGAAGAGGAGGAAACGGAGGACGAAGTGGTGGTGGAGGAGGTGGGGGGAGGAGGAGGGGATAAGGAGGGAGAGGAGGAGGAGGAGGAGGAGGAGGAGGAGGAGAGGAGGAAGAGGAGGAGGAGGAGGAGGAGGAGGAGGAGGAGGAGGAGGAGGAGGGGAGGAGGAAGAGAGGAGGAGGAGGAGGAGGAGGAGGAGGAGGAGGAGGAGGAGGAGGAGGAGGAGGAGGAGAGGGGGAGGAGGAGAGGGAGGAGGAGGAGGAGGAGGCGGAGGAGGAGGAGGAGGAGGAGGAGGATGGGGGAGGGGGGGGGGTCAGACCAACGACCAAGGATATCCACATAGGGGGGTACAACGTCAAAACGCCTATTCAGGTGACCTACGCGTTTCTGTCCAACTCCCCTGCGATCTGTCGTGCTCCAGACCTGCCTTCTCACTAAGGCCGGCAGGGGGCATGCCGCGCAGCTCAAGGACGGAACTCCGAAGTGGCCCCGCAAGAGAGGCTCGCTACTTTATATTACGAGTCCCTTCGGGTCAGTGCGGCGGGAGCGGCTGCCGGCCCTTCCGCGTGCCCTAGGGGAGGGGGCGTTCGGGCTTAGCAGGGCGCCCTAGGGGAGGGGGCGTTCGGGCTTAGCAGGGCGCCCAAGCCAGGGGGGGGGAGGAGACGACGACACGAACTCAAAAGGAGGAGAGTGTGGAGAGACGGAAGGCCCGAGACCCCAAACTGTTGCTGGTGGAGCCGCTTATTCTACAATTTGAATTCCGTGCCCCCCTCTCCCGTTCGGCTCACTTCTCGGTCTTTCCGAGAGATGCCCCATGTATTGTCGCATCTGTACTCTGGTACCTGGTTGAAGTAACCCATCGTTCCCCCTCGAGGTTCATGTGAGGTAGAGCGCACTGGAAGTCACGGTATAAGGTTGGGCCAATGAGGAGCACGCTGGTGGGCTTCCTGAGGATGCATTTTTCTCCTTCGACACCCGGCAGTAGTGTGCCTGTCGGTACTCAAAAAATACTTCCCATTGCGATGGCGGCGCAAGCGCCATGTTGTTCCCATACTGTCCGTCATGAGTTGCCCTCCGAGAAGCCTCGCTCATGCTCCTCCTGACTGTCTGTCTGTTGGCATACCAGCAGGCTCCAATGGGTGCGCTCACTGGTGGCCGCTGGACGAGCTGGCCGCAGTCGTCTCCCCCGACTTGGGGTAGCCGAACTGTTCCGCGACAATCTCCCGAAGGCTTCTGAGCACGCCAAGAAAAATGAGGGGGGTGGAGGGGGGTCGTCCTCGACTCGAGAATGGCCCGACGTGCCCCCAGGACGGCGTACCCCCAGCGAGGCGTCGCAGCGGCCGCGGTCCCGGCCACGGCGGGCGCCTTAGCCCAGCTTCTGGGCGTCCCGAGGTGGGCCCCGAGGCGCCCTCTTCAGGGTGCGTTTGCGCGCTGCTCTGGGTCGGGCGTTGGCAGGACGGGGTCGAAGAGGGTTGGGAAGGGGGAGCAGGGGGGGGGAGAGGGGAGGGGGGCGGGGGGAGAAGGGGGAGAGGGGAGGGGCCAGGCGGAGGGGGAGAGGGGGAGGGGGCAGGTGGAGGGGGAGGAGAGGAGAGCGGGAGAGGGGGAAGAGGGTAGGGGAGGGGTAGGTAGAGGGAAGGGGAAGGGGGGAAGGAGAGGGGAGGGGGAGAGGGGAGGGGGCAGGTCAAGTTCGGTGCGCTCGCGTCAGATCTGACGTCCTAGCCCTCCCTCCCATACCTTACCATGGCGTAGATCTCCTCTCTATTCGCACAGTCGGATGTCGTAGTAGAACGTAGCATTACTTGGCATAGCATGGTGTTGGAGATCAACGCGTAGCCTGACATAGCATGGCGTGGCGACGCCCCGAAGTTGGAGGGGACTTCTGCGACCCCAGAAATCAACGAATCGACACCGAATGCGTGATCACTTCCGATGGTTGTTTCGGGGGGCCTTATGTAATTTTTGGGGCCAAATTGGAAGGACCGAAAACCATGCCGTGGCATGGCGCTGGAAATAATGACGCCAGCGCTGCAGCGAGAGCACGATTCGGAACGAGCGGAAACTCGGAAATGAGGCCAGCGCTGCAGCGGGAGCACGATTCGGAGGACGCGTAGCCTGACATAGCATGGCGTGTCGATGCCCCAAAGTGGGGGGGCTTCTGCGACCCAAAAAAACAACGAATCGATACAGAATGCGTGATCACTTCCGATGGTTGTTTCCGGGGGGGGGGGTCCTCATAATTTTGGGGCTTATTTGGAAGGACCGAGAACCATGTCGTGGCATGGCGCTGGAAATAATGACGCCACCGCTGCAGCGGGAGCACGATTCGGAACGAGCGGAAATGAGGCCAGCGCTGCAGCGAAGCACGATTCGGAACGAGCGGTA